TTCTCTGTGTATGTATGTATGTATGTATGTCTCTCTTCCTACTGTATTTTCCACTGCATGCATCCGATGAAGTGGGTTTTAGCCCACAAAAGCTTATGCCCAAATAAATGTTAGTCTCTAAGGTGCCACAAGTACTCCTTGTTCTTTAAACAAAAACCATTCTTAAACATACAAACGAGCAAAACTTGTTCACATATTCCGAAGCATTACAGTATTGCTTTGGTTGGCTATTACAATTTAATACAAGAAAATATGCATTTGAAGGGGTGTGTAACCATACTCTTACATATGGTACATAGGATTACATATTTAGGAATATCTTTACTTCCTGGATCCCTTCCCTCAGTTTTTAGGCCAAATTAGACATCATACAGGCACATCTTAGGGGACTTTTTATTATAAGCCCACTAGTACAGTTGGTGACGCATCTGTCATGTAGCTTCCAAACACAGCTCTCGCCAAATTTGGTAACCTTCCCTAAAGGTTCCAAATTTCTCTCAGTTAAGATTACATTAGTGTTATAACTAACTACATCCATGTTTACCTTATTGCCCATTTCCTCCTTCCATTGGAGGATACAGTTGGTGTCTCTTTTGTAGGTGACCACCAAGCATTTATCATCAAGCAAAGGTGGTCCATTAGATACTCCCCATGGTCTTTTCTCATTTCCAAGAAATTTCCGAAATTTTCAATTTCCTTAGTACCATTCACAGGTGATTCAAGGTTATAAAAATAATGTTCCCCTTCTTCTATGGACAACATATACATGTTTGTATAATTAAAAGCAATAGCAGGTGATTGATGATTTTGGACACCTGAGAGATGAACAAAGAGAGAGATTACATTTTGCAGTAACTTGGCCCCTTTCCCATTTAAGGGTTTTAACTTTTTTGCCCTTTAAATTTCACCTTGTAGACGGTGGGGCTGGCTTTATTTGTAATTATCACAGGCCCTATCCATCTTGGGCTTAGGACATGCCCTCTTTCTGAATAGAATTTGTATAAAACACAATCCCCAATGTTCCATTCAACAGGTTTCAATGTGTCTCCTAACCTTTTTTCCATGAACTTGGCATTTGCCTTCAACTGTAGGGCGACCTGTCTTTGAATACAACTGATGTTATTCAGAAGCTCCTTCATATACTTATCTATCAGAACCCTGGGTTGGTAGTGGTCAGGAGGAACCCCTCCTACCCATCAATGCTCCGGAATCTTCATCACACAACCTATTATTACCACCTTGTGTGGTGTAAAGCCAAGGGATGCTATTGTGGATCTTAATGCCATGAAGACCAATGGCAACTTTTGGTCCCGGTTCTTTCCATTATTGCTGGTGATCTTATGGAGAGCAACCCACAGCTCTGGGGGTGTCCTGCAATATGAAATTGTTTGATACCCAAAGCCTGACATAGGGCCTTCATTATTTCACTCACAAAGTGGGGATCCTGGTCTGAGTCGATGGTTTCAGGCAGACCAAAGCGTGCAAAGGTTTTTTGCTGTTGTGGAGGCTGTATTATTTCTGGTAGGATAAGCCTCCACCCATTTGGAGAATGCATCTATGATGACGAGGCAATATTTATTACCTCTGCCCATACAGGGTAATGGCCCAATAAAGTCAATTTTTAAATGTGACCATGGACCAACAATCTTTTGGTGTGCCATGGGGCCCTTGATTACTTTGTGGTCTGCGTTATTTTCAGCACACTGCAAGCAAATATGACTGTTTAGACATCTCTAGTTATTTCCAACCACCAGCCCATGCTTAGGATTCTGTTGGTGTTTTTTTCCACTCCAAAGTGGCCTTGGTTATGTGATAGGTTGATGAGTTCTTTTCTCAAGCATTCAGGCACCACTAATACCGGTGTAACATTGTTAACATCTTCCCTTTGGGCCATGATGATACCATTCTTGTTTTTGAAGAGCTTATACCCTCTATATTCCTCTTTTGACAGAAGGTCCTGGACTTTGTCAGCTTTTTGATGGTCTATGATGTCTACCTGGCTCATGATTTCAGATTCTGCAAGTTGCCCTTTATAGATCTTATCAGACTTGGTCCACAAATATTCTTTTCCCACTAATGCTGCTTGCTTTGTGAGGCTATCAACTTGATCGTTGTGTTTTGCAATTTCGGCCTGATCTTTCCTGCGTGCCTTCACTTTACAGGAAATATGTATTACCTGTCCTGGAGGTGGCAAAATCCCAGATGTGTAAAAGGTATTTTGCATAGGAGACGGGTCTTCCATCCGAGGTCTTCATGGATCTCTGGATCCATACTGGCATCCATTTTGTGAGTGCCTTCACCACCCAGAGTCTGAACATACCAACAAGTTGCTCTTTGGGTCCGCAGCATCTAAGACGGCCAGGATGGCAACAACTTCTGCTGCCTGTGCCAAATAGGCTAGGACAGTGCTGTGCACGATGGTCTATGAGCTGAGCTGAGCTGAAGGGCGGTATAGCCCGCATGCAGCTTGCCATCCTTGTGATAGCAACTCCCATTGACTACCCAGACGTCAAGATGTTTATCTTTGGCTTCCTGGTATGTCATGCCCATTTTAAAGGTGCTCTAAGTTGTCTCATGTTAGAGGGCACTCATGCTCCTCACCTTGTATTAGCAAAGCATATGGTGCAGCTGATAGTTGAGATGTCTTGTCAACTTTTCTGTCCCTGTTGATTAGGCTAAGAGTCCAGAATGCTAACCTAAGTTTGAGACCCTTCCTTCATTTATTCATCCTGAAAGGACATACTTGATAAGAGAGTGGGCTGTTTTGAGACTGACTGGGGACATTCTGATGATATATTCCCAGTGGCTGCGTGCCCATGTAAGGACCAATACCTCCTTTTCACATGCTGTATACGGTTGTTCTACATTGCTTAGTACTCTTGAGCCATATGCAACTGGTTTAGGACCATTACCAGCATCCTGCGTTAGGACTGCACTTAGATCTTTTCCTGTTGTAGCCAGCTGTAACTGATAGGGAGTATTAGGCATAGGATAAGCAAGAGTCGGAGCCTTCATAAGGGCTTGCTTTAGGCTGACAGAGGCATTTTTCTGTTCTTCTCCCCATATCCAGTATTGTCCCTTCTTCAGCAACTGGTACAGAGGGCGGGCCTCTCTGCATAACCTTCAATGAATTCTCTTGAGAATCCCTGTCAGGTCCAAGAAGGAACATAGAGAAGATCGGTTCTGTGAAGCAGGAAACTTATTTATGAGCTCAATTCTTTGAGTGTCAGGTTTTCTTCCTTCAGCTCCTAACTCTATGCCCAGGTACGTTATTTTTTGGCACACCAGGTGATAAGTGATGGTATGCCAGGTGAGTGGGAGCAGTGCAATTGCACATGGAACAATGGGCACTGATCTGCCACTCTGATGGGCAGCAGCCGTGGGACAAGCGAACCAACCTTAAATACTCTCCTGTTAAGAGGCAGATTACGGTCATGCGACCATACCTTTTCCTGCCTTGCGGAGAAAAAGGCGCCAAATCTGGCAACAAGATAGGCACCAAAAATGGAGGGACAACAACCACCCCTTGAATCCAAGATGGATAAGTAGGGAAAAACAACAAAAACAGAAAAATTCCCTACAAAACCACCTTTGTGGCTTTCTACTCCTGGAGCTGATGGATGCTGACATGAAATAGAACAGCTTGGAGAATACAAGCCAATCTCTATGGAGAATCTTCCCACCAAAATCAAAAAAGAAAAGTAGTTTTAAATTGAGACACTTAGAATAATCTTTAGAGGTGAACTTTTTCAAAGATGTTTTCTTGCAAGATCCTATCTTGAGAACAGAAAGTGGGAGCTAATTTAAATAATGATTCCAACACAAAGAACTATGGTGTGCAACAGCTAAGTTTGCACAAGTACAAGTACCAACTCAAACGACTTGGAAAATTCACAGTTAAGAGATAGCAAACACTATACAGCAGCCAGCCAACAAAAATGCATGGAAATTAAAATCTTAATAATCCATCACACACTTGTAAGGAAACACCAAAATAAACCTTCAACTGTATTCCTGTAGTGATTAAAGCATATGATTCTGAAATAACTTTTCATCCATAACAGTTTCAAAATCACTAGTGACCATAAAACACTAGACTGTTTTACTCCTAGTTTACAGTTTTCCTGCAAATTCTGGTCACCATTAAGTTTACACAAAGAGTTACTTAAACTTATGAATAGAAGGTATGCTCATTCTGAGACCTCTGAGTTTCTCCAGTCAGACCAAAAACTTGACATGCCTGATCTTTCTGAAATTAAAAAATAAAATAAAAAAAAAATGCCCAAAAGAATCCAAAAAACAAACCAACCAACCAGACACCACAGAAAAGTTTTTCTGGTTTTAATTTCAGGCCTTCTTCATACACTATAAAGTAGCAAAAAAGGCACAAATTCTTTGCAGATTACCTTCATGTTACTAATATAGTCAATTTTAGCTTCATCTTAGTTATTTTTTGTCTGGGAATAAAACTATTATATTTTGCAAGAAGTCTGATGGTAAGCTAAGTATGTGTGCTACCGTATCTTGAGATAGGCTGACACTCAGGAATATCATGACCGTTCTCAAAAACATGAAGTACTTGTAACATGGCATGTGGGCACACACAAAAGTAGGACTAAGCACTGCAGAATAAGGCTGATCAGATCCTCAGATTAACTGTTCTATTATTTTCATTATTTTTTTTCCTAGTAAAAGGAGGTGTTTTTTTCTTTTTTGCATAGCTTTTCTTCTTGAAGTCCCTTCATAGTACATTGAATCAACCCAAGTTAGAAAATAACATACCAAAATGGATGTTAACATACCAATAACTTCCACCATCTACTCCTGTATTCTGCCTCTGCTATGATCTGTACCTTTGAAACTCTCTTCTCAAGGAGGATTCAGCTACTATTCTTATCTGAAGTATTTGTGCCTTAAGGAAGGGCTCGTATTATTCCCTCATTTTAGGAGTATTCAACGTTTGTAAATAAATGTAAAAGGGAAAACATCCAAAGTAAGTATCTGAATGCATAAACTCCTTTATTGAAAATATTGCGATAGCATTGCATTACATATATTCAATATTCATAGTTTAAAGTGTAAAGGGTCACAGAAGTTTTAATGAACAACACTGCTGAATACAGAACACAGCGTTTAGATATGCTCTGACAAGTACAGAGTAATGGAATAAACTGTAGGTAAATAAGAGAGATAGGTATGTAAAATGACAATTTTTTTTGCTTGTAACTAGTAAGGGGTATGCAACTGGCCAAAATGGCAGACATTATTGGACATTCCTAGCATCTCTCAAAGCACTATGCTATTAGCAGGTTCTGAAATATCTTACAGCTAAATCCATCAGAACTTTTTTTTATGGATAGACCAAGTGGTAGAAAACAGTGTTAATAGCTTATGTGCACTGTGTTACAGACTTCTTATTTTTACAGCATCAGTTTTTAACTGCATGAAACCTCTGTGTGGACTTTAAGACTGATTGATGCTTGGCATCTAAGTTGTTCCCTTTTATTTCTGGGGGATGGGAGAAGAGGGTGAACAGTAGTAACTAACTGGAGTTGTACTACTGTGGTGGAATATTCCAAGTGTTTACAGTGCATTTTTGAGTATGAGTGCAACACCATTTCTAACCTGACTTCTTTTAAGATGATTAATTGGATTCAGTATGATGTGTTACATTTTGCTTTGAACTCTAAAGGCAGGACAGTATTCCTTTCCTACCAGCAGAGATTATCATTTAAATAATTTTTTTTTTAAACAAAAACACCCACAAAGCCATGTTTTTTGACAAGGCAGAATTGGTCACATACCATAAAGAAAAGTATTTTCTTATTTCCTTCAGTTATCTTTTGTATCTGTTGGTGTTTTCACAGCACTAACTGGATTAGAGTTCAGCTCTGCCTTTCATAAATGAAATGTCCCTCCAGAGAAAAAATTCTGGTCAGCATTTAAATGCCACTTCATTAAACCAAAAAAGAAATAATTAGTTACTTGTAAAAGCATAAGTTAGCATGTTGGTTCAAGCCTTTTTCAGGAAGGAAACCAAATAAGAATGACCAAGAAAAACAGTTTTTACACCAACATAATATGGCCTATATGGGAAAGAACATTCCTTCCAACTTTTCACATTACATTTTTCTCCCTATTAAAAAACAAGATTTTTTTTTTTTTTTTTTTTAAATTTGTAGGTAAGACTAATGAAACAGAGCTAGTTTTCTGTGCCACCACGCAAGTGGCTGAAAAAACCAACCTGTGTTTCTTTTCAGACATTTTCTTAGTCATGAATATAAACATGTTGGGGGAGATCCTGAGCTGGTATAAACTGTCACAGCTCTACTGAAGTCAATGAAGCTACGACAAGTTACGCTACCTAAGAATGTGCCCTGCTGTCCCATATATTGCCAGTAGAACACCCGATCAATAGGAAGATGGCAGCAGAGTCAATAATGAAAGCTGACAGCACCCACCTCTCTCCCACCCTCTGAAAGTAATCCAGAATTATGCACTCAGAGTTTCTGCCAAAAAACAAAACCCCTAAATTAGGGCAACAACAAAACAGAAACAAAAAAGTTTCATTTACAAAATAATATATATATATATATATATATATAAAACTAACTTTAGAAATCAAATGGATTTGTTGCCAACACATATGAAAAACACCTCAGTAGTATTTTTCTGTCAAATTCTGAGGTTTTAAACATTAAAAGAAAAAAACATACCTACTACATTTTAAACAAATGTACTATACAATGAACAATAAATAAAAAGATTTAAAAAAAACCATGTTCCCTTTAAGTGCTCTGTTCATCTATTTCAGATTATTATTGTTTTCATGGCAAACAGAAAGTATGTTGTAGATTTTCTTTTTGGTTAGCACTTACATGTAATATAAATACACATGGAATGTACTGTATATATATATATATATATTTTCCCCCCACAGTATTTTTTCCACAGTTACAGAAAATAAAAAACAAAACTGCTTTAAACAAATTCATACACCATGAATGTCTTCATTAGCATCTTGTTTCCTTACTGAAGGAGTGTTGGTGGGAAGAGAGTAAAAACACTCACACACACTTGGTCCTCTTATTGTTTTCTACATTTCTGCCTCTTAAAATTGGCTCTCAGAACGTTTTTGTGTAGCCGTGTTCTGCTGGGATATCAGAAAGAAAAAGTGTTACACTGTGAGGCCTGTGCTGGGGCTTTAGCTTTCAGCATCCTCAATGAACCCAGTCCATAAGGCAGTCCTTATTTCACTCAAATGTCCATACTTCCACATCTTGTATTATGAAATCTTCCTTCTTGGATAAGATGTCATTATTGAAGGTGCTGCAGGAGTTGCTTCGCCCATGATACAAATCAGCATCCAGCCATAAACCAAATCGACCACTAAAAAAAGAAGAAAAAAAAAAGTTAAAGTTCAAACTTTATCTACAACAGCTAAGCCCACATCCTTGTTAGCTGGAAACAAAACAAACCCCCACAGCTTGGGCAAAAAATGGTTCCTCGCCTTCTTGTAACTGTTGTTCTTCAAGATGTATTGTTCATGTCCATTCCAATCAGGTGTGTGTGCGCTGCATGCATGGTTGTCGGAAACTTTTCCCTTAGCAGCTCCCACTGGGTACGCTAGGGAGCCCCCGGGAGTGACGCCTTTATGACCCTGCTGACCCGACCCACCCTTGAGTTCCTTCTTGTCGGATACTCTGACAGATGGTAAGGAGGGTGGGTATTGGAATGGATGTGAACAACACATCTCGAAGAACAACAGTCCCAAGAAGTGCCTTGCATGATGACAGGTTTCAGAGTAGCAGCTGTGTTAGCCTGTATCCGCAAAAAGAAAAGGAGGACTTGTGGCACCTTAGAGACTAACAAATTTATTTGAGCATAAGCTTTCATGAGCTGTAGGTGCCACAAGTCCTCCTTTTCTTTTAGTCCCAAGAAGGTGAGTAATCGTTTTTTCTTCAAGTGCTTGTTCATGTTGATTCCAATCAGGTGACTCCCAAGCTCTCCCCTGGAGGTGGGATTGGAGTTAAGGAATCACTGATTGGAGAACCACCTTCCCGAAAGCTGTGTCCTCTCTAGCATGCTGGGTGATGGCATAGTGGGTGGTAAATGTGTGCACCGAAGACCAGGTTGCTGCTCTGCAGATCTCCTGGATGGGCATCTGAGCCAGGAAAGCAGCAGACGAGGTTGGAGCACACGCCAAGTGGGCTGTAATATCCAGGGCTGGGATCTTGGTGAGGTCGTAGCAGGTATGGATGCAGTCCGTGATCCAGGAAGAAATGCGTTGCAGATGGTAGCAGATGACAGAACAAGGAGTAATGGTCTCAAGTTGCAGTGGGGGAGGTTTAGGTTGGATATTAGGAAAAACTTTTTCACTAGGAGGGTGGTGAAACACTAGAATGCGTTACCTAGGGAGGTGGTGGAATCTCCTTCCTTAGAGGTTTTTAAGGTCAGGCTTGACAAAGCCCTGGCTGGGATGATTTAGTTGGGATTGGTCCTGCTTTGAGCAGGGGGTTGGACTAGATGACTTCCTGAGGTCCCTTCCAAACCTGATATTCTATGATTCTATGAGACCGGATGCCCCTTCATCTGGTCTGCCACCACTACAAACAGCTGGTTAGACGTCCTGAAAGGCTCTGTGTGCTCAATGTAGAATGCCAGCACCCTCTGGACATCTAGTGAGTGAAGCCTCGGCTTCTGCACATGAGCATGCGGCTTGGGATAGAAGACTGGTAGAAAAATGTCTTGGCCAATGTGGAATTTGGATACCACCTTGGGCAGGAAGGCTGGATGCGGCCTGAGTTGTACTTCGTCCTTATGGAAGTGCGTGTGTGTGTGGGAGTGTTTGATGGTTAGCGCTTTTAACTTGGACACCCTTCTGGCTGATGTGATGGCAACCTGGAATGTCATCTTCCATGAGAGATACAGAAGGGAGTATGTAGCCAGTGGTTCGAATGCCCCCCCACACACACATTAGCCTAGAGGGGACCAGAATGAAATCCCAAGCAGGTACTGGCGGTTGGGACTGTGGATATAGCCTTTCCATGCCTTTCAGGAAACGGCCCACCATAGGGCTGGCAAATACCCCAACTCTCCTGGGTGAGACGCCGAGATGGCCGCGAGGTATACCCTGATGGATGATCCCGCCAACCTTGCTGCTTCAGATGCAGTAGATACTCCAGCATGAACGGTGTAGATGTCTGAAGTGGAGGTACGCGATGCTGCTCACACCAGCATGAGAACCTTTTCCCCTTAGCTAGGTATGTGGCCCTGGTGGAATGTTTCCTGCTACCAAGCAGCACCTCCCTTACTGATTCCGTGTATTGGAGCTCCTTTGGGTTTAACCATGAAGCTTCCAAGCCATGAGATGGAGGGAATAGAGGTCCGGGTGAAGAAGGTGGTCCTGTGTAATCAGATCGGGGTAGAGTGGCAGGGCGATCGGGGTGTCCACTGACAGCTCCAGAAGCGTGGTGTACCAAAGTTGGCGTGGCCATGCTGGGGTCAGCAGAATTACTTCCGATTTGTCCCTGTGGATCTTGAGCAGGACCTTGTGGATAAGCGATATCAGCGGGAAGGCATACATTAGATGGTCTTCCCAGGGTAGCACAAATGAGTCTGAGATAGAGCCTGAACTGTTTTTGGAAAGAGCAAAAGGGACACTTCCTATTGCTCCTGGTGGCAAATAGGTCTACCCGGGGAAGCCCCCACCTTTGGAAGATGGGATGCATGACGTCCAGACGGATGGACCACTCGTGGTTGCGAAACGACCTGCTGAGGTGGTTTGCAAGCTCATTCCGTACTCCAGGGAGATAGGACGCCTCCAGGTGAATGGAGTGGGCTATACAGAAATCCCACAGCTGGAAAGCTTCCTGACAGAGAAGAGAAGAGCAGGATCCGTCCTGCTTATGTAAAACATGGTGGTGGTGTTGTCGGTCATCACCGCCACCCACTGACCCTGAATTCTGGCCTGGAAGGTCTGGCAGGCTAGACACACAGCTCTGAGCTCCTTGATGTTGATGTGGAGTGAGAGCTCGACCTGCGACCACTGATCCTGCATCTGTAGGTCTTCTACAGCTGGGCCCCCCAACCCAGAGCTGACGTGTCCTTTACTAGGGTCATGGGGGGTTGAAGGGTGCTGAATGGGAGTCCTTCGTGGACCATGCAAGGGTCTAGCCACCAGCGAAGGGACTCTAGAACTCACTCCAGTACTGTCACTACTGAGTCCAAGCTGTCTCGACCTGGGCAATAAGTTGAGGTGAACCATGCCTAGAGTGGCCTGAGCCTCAGTCTGGCATGCCTGACCACACAGGTGCAGTCTGCCACAACCGAGGAGACTCAGGCATCCCCTTGCAGTTGTGGGGGTGTACTGCCTGAGAGTCTGGATAATATCGGTCACTGCTTGAAATCTGGACTCCAGCAGGATTGCTCTGGCCTGTACCGAGTCCAGCACTGCCCCAATTCATTCTATTCTTTGGGTCGGTGAAAGCGTGGACTTGTTCACATTGAGGAGGGGTCCTAGTCTCCCGAAAGGGTCTCTGAGTAACCAAACTTGGGACTCCACTTACTCCCTGGAGCGCCCGCCCCCCCTGCAGCAGCCAGTCGTCGAGGTAGGGATACACTTGTACCTGCCTCTTTTGGAGAAAGGCTGCGACCACCGACATGCACTTGGTGAATACTCGGTGGGCCGTCAATAGACCAAATGGGAGCACTGTGAACTGGTAATGTTTGTGGCTGACTACAGATCTCAGGAAAAGTCTGTAGGCTGGATGAATGGCTATGTGAAACCACACATCTTTCATGTCGAGAGCAGGGTCAAGGCCAGGGTCTACCACAGAGTTTTTATATTGTTCTGCACTGTCTTGATTAGGGGCAGAGCCACCCATGATGTACCTTTGGGAGCGAGAATGTCCACCATGGCAACCTTGGTCTCAACAACCTCCTCCACTTGCAACTCCATGTTGTGAGAGTGATTCACCTGAGGACGTCTTGGTGCGCCCTGTGATCTACTGGAGGTGGCCCTGAAGCGGACGCCCTTGCTACAGCTTCGTCTGGGAAAGAAGATGAGGTGGCTAGTGGAGTTACCGGGTCCTCCTGTCCCTCTAAGTCTCTGACCTACTCTTGGTCAATAGACCATTGTGGCCACCACAGTCTATGCCTGGGGCTGGTCCTGTTGTGGAGACGTCTCGGTCACAACCCGAGGTTGAGGGGACAGTTGGGACAGGGTGGCCTTGGATCCTCGAGGAGCGAGTCTGTCCCTAGGAGAGTGTTGCGGCCGGCATCCTGACGCTACAGACCTTGATCCCCTTGACAAGGTGCCCTGGACTTGATGATACACCCCGGGGATCCAAAAGGGCCATTGCACCAGGGGTTGCCACTGCTGTTGCCAACTCAGTGGTGCCTCCCTTCATCAATTCTGGGATCTATGCCAACTATGCCTTTAATAATGTGAGTCGACATAGGATTCTGAGGTCCGAAGTACTGATGCTCGGTGCCACAATGGAGGCGGGGGACCGGTGCCTGGAATCCAATGACAGAGACCAGTACCGCGTGTCAGGTGCCAGAGAAGGCAGTCAAAGGTCCGGTGCCGTATGTCAATGCCAATCGTCTGCTGGCGTGGGGGACCTGCCCCCTACTTCATTCATCTATGAAGATGGCCTTCTTAGTTGCCATCATGTCAGCCCATAGAAGCTCCCTCCTCTCTCCATGGGTACTGCTAGGAAGTCACCTGAAGTGGCGCACCAGTAGGGATGCTACTTGAAGAAGAAGGAAATGTTACTCACCATGTGCAGGAACTGCAGTTCTTTGAGATGTGTGTTCTGTGCGTGCTCTGCTACCTGCCTTCTTCCCCTCTACTTTTATTTTATTTTTGGTTGTTCCCCAGGGGATGACTAGGTAGAGAAGGAACTGAGGGTGGTTTACCTGCGTGCCCTGATTGCCTTGGTGTCTGCCATAAGGAGGCATAGGGAGCACGTGCAGGCTGAGCGGACACTGCTGGCTAGAAATCTCTGATCAAGGACTCAAGATGCGTATGTGCACCTGGAGTAGAACACCTATGGGGGAGCCGATGGTACCAACGATGATGGGCATACACCAGATACTATAGATGTCAGGAGCTGATGCTCGCTTGGTACTGAGGGTACCACATGTACAGGCACCCCTGACTGAGCTTGCGTTGGTAATGATGATGGGGTTAAGGTGCATGATGGCAACAACAACTGAACAGGATGCTTCATTGCTGATGGCAGGGTTGAACTTGATGGTACCGTGTGCTTACCCTCCCCTTACTAGTGGAGGGTACAGGTGCCGTATCAGAGCTGTGTCTACTGTTCTTTGAGCTCTGGGACTTTGCAGGCCCACAGGTACCAGAGGAAGAGTCCTTGGCCTCAACAGTACCCTTGGAGACTGAGGACCTCGATAGGGACCTGGTCTTTTTTGGAGCTGGAAGAGTGAGAGTCCGCGCTCTTTCTGGGAGTCTTCCCAGCAGGCTCCTTTTTGAGAGGAGGTAAGCCCTGAGGCTGACAGGGTGCTCCATCTGTCCAGGGATTCTCCTGACTGGCTCAGGGGGTGGTTGCAGGAAGCATTCCATGGCCAACAGTCTGAGATTTATCTCCCTGCTCTTCCTAGCTGTGGACTTAAGGGTCAAACAGAAGGAACGCTTCTGGGACATGTGGAACTCCCCCAGGCAACAGACACACTTGAGAGTGCCCACTGCTTACTGGTATAGCCTCCAAGCAACAGAGGCAGCATTTGAAGTCTGGTGCATCAGGCATGCCCTGCCAGAAGACGACAAGTCTCCCCCGAGGAAACGGGGGGGGGAAAACCACCCACAATCATCTCACCAAAACTAACTATGGTAAAACACTAAGTACAACTATCTGTGCAAAACAAAGAGAAGTCCAATTACGCTCTAGGCAGACATGCTAGGTGTTCCGTAAGGCTGAGGCAGAAGAGAAGGAACGGAGGGTGGTTTGCGTGTGCATCCCTATGTAGCCTCAGTGTCTGCCACCAGGAGGCATAGGGTGCATGCGCAGGCCAAATGGACACTGCTGACTAGAAATCTCCGATCATGGGCTTGAGAGGCGCATGTGTGCCCGACGTGGAGCACCCATAGGAACACTATTCAAAGACGGATAAATTAATCTACTGGACTAACCAGTTTTTCCTTTCACACTTACATGTAATAATATCCCTTCTCTCCCAAAATGTAGTCAATTATAGGATTTCAAAACCAAAAAACCACACACTTACCCTCCCCCTCCAAGTTCTAGAGAGCTGGTATCTCCATTGATAAAGTAGGTGTTTTCTCCAGACCACTTAAACACCTAGAAAACAAGACCCAAATTTGATTATCGGGAATATAATAAACTAAAAAAGTAGGCTAGGGAATTATTCTGGGTAATTGTGTGTGTGTGTGTGTGTGTAAAAAATAAAAGCAGCATGGTTCATATCTAAAAAAGGCACAACGATAGATTGCTTTAAATTTCACGTGTGTCCAATCAATATGCCTTTGCTTTTCATAGACTTAATATCTTCAATATTTAAAAACAAACAGCCTATTTACATTTTAGGGGTGTCTCACAGTTGCCCATTCTCTAGTTTCTTGTCACTATGGTCTAAGCACTGTGTAAAATCAAACTACTTCTGGAGCTCCCACCTCTCCGGTTTTATGAGTGTTCCATGGTTTATTCATTACATCTTCCCACACAATCAACCTAGAACCTTCTTCTCACCCTCATGGAAGAGTCCAGCTCCTCCAGTCACTTTTGCTGGAAGTACTGCAGTTTGGTAGTACTGAATGAAGAGTTTAGTGATTAGCTGCATTCACAAGCAGTTTGTCACACACCTTCAAACTGATGCTTTCTGAGGAGTCAATTTTTTTCTTCTCTCTCTAACCAAGAGAAGTTGGTCCAATAAAAGAGATTACCCCTCCCACCTTGTCTCTCTAATATCCTGGAAACAACATGGCTACCTCAACACTGCAAAAAAGGGTCTCATGATAAACATGCTGTTCAGTAATGTTTTGTCAAGCATGTTTCACAAGTGGAGCTCCCCCTAGCCATGGGTCCCCTTCCCCAACAAATTACCTTGAAGTTTGGACTAAACGTGTAGAGGAAAGTTTCGCCTGTGCCGTAATAGTGGTCACTAAATCTGAAAGGATGTGTTGCATATGCTCCAAATATCTGTCAAAACAAAAATGGTTGGGTTATACTTGAAGACAATTTGCAAAATTCAAAAGGCCTTTCAAATATAGTTTCTGACAAATAACTGCACTGACGTTTTAGGTAATAAAGGCTAATTAGTGAAATTCGGGGGGGAGGGAAGGGAAGCTGATCTGGTGTCTGGGTTGTCCACACCCCTTTATAGTTTTAAAAGCCAGAGGGCTCCAGATATGAGGATTCTAGAAGCTACTGGAGTACTTCACACCAGTCCCAAGGATGCTCTCTGCTATTTTATAACAGACTGATAACTGAAGCCTGCTAGTGACTGGAATGGATGCTTGCGAGAACACAATTACAGTTGCAAAGCATGCTCCATAGAAATTGTGAGTTCTGGACAGATTTTTACCTCTTTTAGTACTAATATTTTCCTGGATTTGAGTTTGAGGATAAATATGCTAATTTAACAGTCAGTACTAAGCATAGTATAACATACGTCTTGTCTTATTTTGACTCCTACTATTCCATATAATTGAATTTGGCTGAAAACTGCTGCTTTGCTAACAAGCGTATGCAACTCTTAAAATTGTATGGAATACCCATGTGAAGGTTGCACTACAAATGATAAAGATAGTTATGTTTAATCTATTTACAATCATAAGGTCTTTTTTAACTGGGTCATTCCAATCCAGGAGACCCCAAAATAAGTGCACTATTCCCAAGTCCTAACCTGGTTGTCCATATCTTTGACGACAAGGAGGACTGGACTGTCAAGAGACGCTGATTTCCTGTACAGAGTTTTCAGGCTGGTTCCATGCTCCAACGTGCTATATGCAAGCCGCCATGGATATCCCTGCACTCTTGCTGGCAGACAGCGCGCAAGCTAGGAGTGAAAGAAGAGACTAGTGTAGACATTTAATTATATATGATTTCTCTCTCTTCATCTCAAGTCAACAGCCAGTAGAGCACTGCAAAAAGCTGTGCCTGACACCTAGACACTACAGAGATGGGTATTTACAATGCACCCAAAATAAAGAGCTGAAGCATTGTGGTTAGAAATTTAAATCTCCAATATTGTGCCAATATAATTTCTAATGTAACTGTTCCAGTGTCAGCAGGGAAGAAAATGAGAATGTGGGAAAGGGAGCAAACCAAAACTCCATTACTAATTATACCTGTTCTATGTGCATATTCTCTAGGAGCGCGCTGTGGTGCTTTAGGACAGGTAAAGAATCATCGTCATCTTCCTCATAGTAACTGCAAATGCTCTTTCGACGCTTTGCCTCTTCTACAGTGATAATCTGAGACAAGAGGACACAAGTATTATAAATTTGAGTCAATTTCTGGGTTTTCATTAACCTTAAACTGGGACGAGTGAATTAGACTAATGGAGTTAAGTTAGTACCAGACCCAGATCTTATACACTGTGAAGCAGCCTCAGAAAGCTAGTATATCCTATATATGCAGGACCACGCAGTGTAAGGATATACCCCAGGGACAATGTTACATAGTGAATAAAGAAGTGTTGTTTACCCTGTCCCACAATACAAAAACCAGGGGTCACCTGATTAAATTAAATAGGCAGCAGATTTAATATAAACAAGAGGAAGTACTTTTTCCTCACACCACAATTAATCTGTGGAACTCATTGCCATGCGATCTTGTGATGGTAAAAATTTAACTGAGTTAAAAAATGAACTGGATAAATTCATGGAGGATAGGTCCTCCAATAGAAATTAACCAAGACGGTCAGGGATGCAAACTCATGCTCGGGACAACCCTATACTCTCACTGCCAGAAACTGGGAGTGGAAGACAGGGTGGATCACCCCAAAATTGCCCTGATCTGTACACTCTCCCTGAGGCTCTGGTACGGTCACTGTAAAAAGACAAGATACTGGGTTAGATGGACTATTGGTCTGACCCAGTATGGCAGCTCTTATATGCTTATGTCTATGGGTAGCACAGGAAGCATGGAGAGGTCTTCTTTATGGCCTGACAATCCCTTTTTGCTGTATTAACCCCTTGGGGCCATTAGCTGGTAGAGAAACTAAACTATGTTGGGGAAGTAGCCTGGTACATACTTAGTCCAACATCAAAGGAGTGCAAAGGCCACCTCCTCCTGAGAGTCACCATGTGTATGTGGGCCACGGGGCTTGGGATATTCTTTCAAATATGAAGGACACAGAAGCTTCTTTGTTTTCCTTCCTCCAGTTAGTCAAGCACAGTGAACTCTTCTCAGATGCTAACGCATAACACTAATATAAATAAGGCTTTAGGTTTCACTTCCCATTATTGCTAACCCTACGGCAGCCCTTTCTTGCCCATTTACAAAGAAATAAACATTTATTTATATAAATTGAAATAAAACACCACACCGAAGAACCAAAAAGAAAGTTACATTTGAGCAAAACCTGGAAGAAAAGCACATGTTCTGAAGGCTGCATCATATAGGTAAGCTCTCAATGAACCTATATGCTCAGTCAAGTATTTAGTTCCAAATTCTTACTAGTGTAAGTTCTTTCTTGTCTTTAAAATAGTCATTTTGGGAAACTGATGCTTATTTCAAGAAATTTTAAGAATGTATTCCAAGGTCAAATGTCTCATGGTACTTAAATAAAAAAAAAAAATCAGACATTTTCAGTTGAAAAACTATCGAATAATTCTTTGGAAATGTGGATTGGTCACTGATAGTTTTAAATCTGAGTTTGCTACAACTTTAAAAACAACATTGATCCATATAAAGACTCATTAGTCAGATTTGGATTCAAATGTTCTTCCTTTAGTTAGAAGGAAAATACCATGCCCTTCCTCCCCCAGAACTCCATTAAAGGTCATTGCCTGTTCCACTAGACTGACTGCAGAGTCTGCAGAGAGAACTGACTGCAGAGTCTGTGGCTTCAAATTTATCAGTTATCTAAACCATCTTTTCTATACAAACCTATCACCCTACAATTAAACTCTATGATTCTATGGAGCCGCAGGGCTGAAGCCCCAAACCCCAGCGCTCCTCCCAGATCTAAAGCCCTGAGCCCTGGTGCTCCCATAGGGCAGAAGCCCTGAGGGCCCCTCCCCTCCGAAGCCCTGACCTCCCCCTATGCTGCAGCTGCAGCCCCAACCTGCTCATGGCTGAAGTCCGTAACATTTTGTTGAGAGTTACAGAACATTTCAGATATAAGAACAACCTCCATTCCCAAGGTGTTCGTAACTCTGAGGTCCTACTGTACAAACTAAAATTTCATACAGACAGACAATTACTTGTTTATACTGCTCTATGTACTATACACTCAAATGCAAGTACAATATTTATATTCCAGTTAGGGCTGTCAAGTGATTAAAAAAAATCATAATTCATCGCACTGTTAAATAGAATACCATTTACTTACATATTTTTGGATGTTTTCTACACTTTCAAATATATTGATTTCAATTACAACATAGAATACAAAGTGTACAGTGCTCACTTTATATTTATTTTTTATTACAAATATTTGCACTGAAAAACAGTATTTTTCAATTCACCTCATACAAGTACTGTTGTGCAATCTCTTTATAATGAAAGTTGAACTTACAAATGTAGAATTATGTACAAAAAGTAATTGCATTCAAAAATAAAACAATATAAAACTTTAGAACCTACAAGTCCACTCAGTCATACTTCTTGTACAGCCAATTGCTCAGACAAACATGTCAGAGTGTAGGGTTGTCCCGAGCATGAGGTTGCATCCCTGACCATCTTGGTTAATTTCCATTGTTGTAGCTGGTGTTGCAAGGTATTTATGTGGCAGATGCGCTAAAGATTCATATGTCATTTCATGCTTCTACCACCATTCCAGAGAACATACATCCATGCTGATGATGGGTTCTTGCTTGACAACGATCCACAGCAGTGAGGACCAACTCATGTTCATTTTCATCATCTGAGTCAGATGCCACGAGCAGAAAATTAATTTTTTTTTTTGGTGGTTCGGGTTCTGTAATTTCCACATCAGAGTGTTGCTCTTTTAAGACTCCCAGCAGCATGCTCCACACCTCATCCCTCTCAGATTTTGAAAGGCACTTCAGATTCTTAAACCTTGGATCGAATGCTGTGGCTATCCTTAGAAATCTCACATTGGTACCTTCTTTGTGTATTATCAAATCTGCTGTGAAAGTGTTCTTAAAACGAATGCTGGGTCATCATCCGAGACCGCTATAACATGAAATATATGGCAGAATGCAGGTAAAACAGAACAGGAGACGAACAATTCTCCCCCAAGAAGTTCAGTCACAAATTTAATCAACGCTTTTTTTTTTTTTTTAAAAACGAGCATCATCAGCATGGAAACATGTCCTCTGGAATGGTGACGAAGCATAAAGGGGCATATGAATATTTAGCATATCTGACAGGTAAATACCTTGTAACACCGGCTACAAAAGTGCCATGTGAATGCCTGTTCTCACTTTAAGGTGACATTATAAATAAGACGTAGTAAGCAGTATCTCCGGTAAATGTAAACAAACTTGTTTGTCTTAGCAATTGGCTGAACAAGAAGTAAGACTTGCAGGCTCTAAAGTTTTACATTGTTTTGTTTTTGAGAGTGTAGTTATGTAACAAAAAACAAAAAACCAAATATCTACATTTTTAAGTTACACTTTCACGATAAAGAGATTGCACTACAGTACTTGTATGAGGTGAATTGAAAAAAAAACACCTATTTCTTTTGTTTGCCATTTTTACAGTACAAATATTTATAATAAAATAAACTGGACCCTTGCTAGAACGCACATCTATATAGCACGAATTTGCATAGATATGGTCGTGGCCATGGATCCCAAATTTAATTACTTTAATTGCAATTCATTTTAACACGGTCCCCGCATTAATGCAGTCCCGCGCATGGATCCCAAATCCTGAGTTCTTGCGAGGGTCTGGTGTAACATAAAGTGGGCACTGTACACTTTGTATTCTGTGTTGTAATAGAAATCAATATTTGAAAATGTAGAAAAACATCCAAAATATTAAATAAATTTCAATTGCTATTCTCTTGTTTAACAGTGTGACTAATAGTGATAAATTTTCTTTTCTTTTATTGCCGTTAATTTTTTTGAGTTAATCGCATGAGTTAACTGCGATTAATCAACAGCCCTAATTCCAATTGATTTATAATTATATGGTCAAAATGAGAATGGAAGCAATTCATCAGTTATGTGCTGGGACACTTTTGTATTTTTATGTCTGATTTTGTAAGCAAGTAGTTTTTAAGTGAGGTGAAACTTGGGGGTGTGGAAGACCAATCAGACTCCTGAAAGGGATACAGTAGTCTGGAAAGGTTGAGAGCAACTGATTTAAGAGATATGAATTTTCTGTTTTTTCCTTTCTTCTCTCATTAACTGTGGTCTCCCTGGAACCTGGACTTTTTTACATTTTTAATTTTGAATATTTTATAAGTGACTCCTCTCCCGCACACTGAGAAAATAGTGGGGGGGGGGGGGTTTGATTACAAAGCTTTCATAATGCCTCCAGGTTTCAAAAAGAAAGAACTCAAACCAAGTCTACCAGCAAATATGTTTGTACTGATGTATAACTGAATTTGCAAAGGCAAGCAGCTGCAGATATGTTTCTTCTTAACAAGTCCATCATCAATTTCTATCAATAAGGAATAAAAGTCAACCCCGTCCTACCACCCGAAAAGGGACAGAAATCCAGTTCTTAAGAAGTTAAAACAAAAAGGCATTCAATGAAGACAAACTCTCCAAAAGTTCACCTACTTGCATCACACCAAATGAATTAAATATCTCAATGCTGTAGTCAGGCCAAAACAGCAATGAAGAGATATGCATTACCAACCATTTACAGATCAGTTCAGGTAGCACAAACATTAAAAACCCCACAGAGATCTGAACTGCAAAAAGTACTGCCATTTTTAGGAACAAAGAAGCAAGCCCCAGCATGCAGAAATATCCAGTTAAAATGCATTTTAGTTTATTGGTACAGAGATAGAACACAGCACCACAGCATTGTATGCAGTCCAACATACCTGCACAAAAGGCTCCTGGTTAGGTCTGACACAGTAAACAATCTGAATATCCAAAGGTATTTGTCGCACTCTCATTGTTATGGGATTTATTTTCACTATATCAAACTTCTCTGCTGTACTGCCAAAGCTGTTTCCTACACGCTAGACAAGGCAGCTACTGCTTCTGCCACGCTGTGATAATATTGCTTATACACTTCCCTGGTACAGTCTTACTTTCTGTTTCCCCAACAGAAAGTATAAGTTTCACAAAGGATTATGACCAAATTAGGGCCTCCCTCAAAG